GTTGAAATCCTCCACGCAGGAAGAACAGCAATATAGTCCAACCTATATTGGAATATATTCTACAATGGGTTCTATTAATAATCAATGCAGGAGCACAATTCACAATTCACAATAGCTAAGTATTGGAACCAACCTAAGTGCCCTTCAACAGATGAATGGATAAAGAAAAAAGGGACACACATACACACACACACACACACACACACACACACAATGGAATATTACTCAGCCATAAAAAATGACTTCATGGTACTTGCTGGTTAATGGATGGGTCTTTGAAATAAGAGAATCCCCAAAAAACCAAGGCTGAATGTTGTGATATGTGGAAGCTAACCTACAATGGCTGGGCATTAAGAAAAAGAAGAGAAGTTCAGTGGAATAGGCAAAGGGGAATGAAGGGAAGGGAGGGTGGATGGAAATAGGAAAAGATAGTGAAATGAATAAGACATAACTTTCCTATGTGCATATATGAATACACCACAGTGAGTCTCACCAATGTGTATACCCATAAAAATTTAATCCAAAAAATAACTATGGGTAAATGTCAGGAATATCAGTAGACAGAAGGGAGCAGGGATGGTGGAAGGGAAGGGGAAGGAGAGGTACTGGGGATTGAATTAGAATAAAATATATGACATGCATGTAGAATTATGTCAAAATGGATTCTACTGTCATGATAACTAAAAAGAATCAATAAAATAAAAATCAACCTAAATGATATGAAATAAGTGTTCTTATTCATAAAAAATTCTAGTTGTTTTAATTAGTGACAATTCTTCTGAATTGATATATTTTAACCCTTTTGATTATCTTATATAAGCTATTTAATGTTTCTTGTCATGATATCAAAATATGATGGTTGAAATAATGATGTAAGAAAATAAAAATTGTACTTAAACAATTTATAGCAAACTCAAAATATACATCCTTAAAGACACTCTTCTCTTTTACAGTAAATGTTATATCTTTTTCTTTGAATGTTTTTAAAGACTAAAATTTTTCCTGCATGCAAAGTTAAGCCTGAGATCATTCACTACCCAAGTAAAACTTTCCAAAAGGCAGAGCTAATTCTAAAAACAACTCAGAGTGATGCAGGGATTAGCCAAGCAGAAAATAGAATCTGTGTCACCATTCTCATGAAGTCAAAATGAAGTGGATTAAAACTAAACTCTAATTGGTTTGTAAATGTCATTTTGAGGATACAAAAATTCCTCCCAAGTCCTTGTGTTCTTTTTTGTTATTGTTAGTCAAATTTAACTGTCACCATTCATTTTTCATTCTAAAGTTACCCTAGTAAATAAGTAAGGGCATTTCCATATTGGATTGCATATCCCAAATGGAAATGGCTTTTTATGGTAATATGCAAAAGTCATCTAGAAAAGGCACAATGTTTTATCCTTGATTTTTTGATCCCTTTAAAGAGAACATCTTTACTTTGTTATTCACATGGAAAAGCTGACAAAGCACTCTCTTAATATAGAGGGTTGTTTGTGGATTGGTAAACAAACCAATTTGTTTGAAACTCAGGGAGGCAAACATATATATATAACCTACCATGCATTTATAATATACATCTTATAGCAAAATCACAATAGGAAGTGAACTGTTTTATTACAATAGGGTATATTTCAAAGGTGATAAACCTTTTATATCTGAGAACATAAAAATGCACAAGCTATTAAATAATTTCACCCTAGATGTACTTATTTTTGCATATGTTAACATTTAAACACACTAGACATAGCTCTTGAAATTCCTTATGCTAATGTATACTGCTACTTATTTTAAAAGGCAATTTCATTTAAAATCAAACCTCAGGTCTCAAAACACTATTTAAGGCCAAACAAAGCATATCAATACAAATGCAAGATATGAAAGCCTTCAATGTTTCAATGATAATTTAATTTATAAATCAACACAATAAAAACGTTATGTTTAAAATTCTAAAAACATTATTTGGTAGGTATTAGCTTCAGTCCTCTAAGAATATAAAAAAAAATTCCCAAGCATAAAACAAAATGTTTCATTAACCTCCTAAGGGGCATAATAGATATGAAATGAAAATTACTTTGGAGAACAGCTGACATCGTCATGCATAAGCTAAAGAAACTATTTGTTTGAATAAAAATATGAACTTTTCAAAGATAATTATCATACAAAGCTTGAAATAATTCCATGAAACTCTACTATTAGATACATTGAAGAGAGTCTTCTAAGTCTTTGATTCTAAGATAGGGTATTCTCTTTTGTGTGAACATCATCAACAAATAAAAATCTTTATGATTTAGTTATTTTTTAATTTCAATCACCACTGATATCATTAGTTGAGAAATACTGAGCAATAAGTTTTAATGCATATTTGGTATTGTCCTAACACATTAGAAAATGAAGTGATAATAGAGATATAATATATAACAGAATTTATGCTGAATCCTCATTTTGTTGACAGCCATAAATAAGCTTTGGTAAACATTTTGGGGGGACTAATGCTTTTTGAACTGGAAGGGAATTGATAAATAGAAGGATATTCAGATCTAAGACTTCATTGGCAAATAACACTATAACCAGTGGTTGGATATCAAAATCCACCTGTATTTTGGTTATATATGGTTGACTATGAATTGCTCAAGTTTGAGATATTTGAGTAGTTTCCTACAGGCCATACAATATACATTTCAATGTACATTTTTTTTTAAATTTAGAAGTATATGTTTAGTTATGTATATCAGGCTCTTTTATATGATAAAACATAGTATTCACATAATTGTCAATTCTGATTAGAAATTAATCAATCTACTTTCTCATTGTGATGCACATTACTGTATATCTATCTCTATTCCATTGATTAAAAGGAGGATAGAGAGGTCAAAAGTCATTGTGTAATTTATTAAGAAAAATATATATTTTATTTATATAATCAATGGATTCATTAATTTCAGTTATTCAGTCATGTATCTACTTTGTGGTGCATGAGATCAAACTCAGGGCCTTACACGTGCTAGGCAAGCCCCCTACCACTGAGGGACAACTTCAACCTAAAAAAAAAAATCTATTTTCAACCTGTACACACAAAATAGCTAGAACATGTATCTCAAAGAATGGAAACTGACCAAAATAGGAAAATTTTAATGGAAAACATAACCATGAACAGCTTATCCTTCAAATCCACATACTATAGTTCTTTTCTTCAGTTTTGAACCCTATACTTTCATTATGCCTGTCCTCTATACCCCATTGAAATAAGAGAAAAAAATTAATCAGTAGTAGGCATCAATAGTGAGGTGACCCATCCATATGCTACCAAACAAGGCACACAATTACTGTAGTTTCTTTCACTGAGATAAAACCTGAGGTAGAAGTGTTGTTAATCATTCACAGAAGCAAGAAAAAGGAGTTATAGGAGTCTCTGTTCAGTCATGCATTATTCAAAGGAGCAGAAACATTTCTGAACTTAACTTCACAAACTCACGTTTGGTTATAATTTGATTTCCAAGTACATTTGTTTATTAAGAGCAATTATAGATGCTCCTCAACTTACAATGGGATTATGCTCAAATAAACCTAACAACACACACAACACAAAAATGAAATGTCTTTACTATACCTAACCAACTAAACATTCTCACTTAGTATCACAATACACTGGAGAGTGTGGGCTATTTCCTCTCATGATCATGTTGCTGACTGGAGCTTGGGCTCACTGATCCCCAGCATCACAAGCTCGGGAAAAGATCAAAATACAAAATTCAAGGTACAGTCTCTACTAAACACATGTTGCTTTTACATCATTTTGAGTTGAAAACTTTTTAAGTTGATCATCTTAAGTTGGGGAAATCAGTATATTAGTCCATTAGGAATGAGTAGTCTTCTTGTGATAACTAGCTGATATAAAATGATTTCCCTCCTGATTTATTACTTTTTGAGCTTCTTTACAGTTAACTCCCACCTTTCCTGATACGCATCTGCTAGGTGAGCCGAGGCAATCAGGTTTCTGGGTCTGCAACATTGCAACTAGACTGTGGTTGATAAAATATTTGACAAAAGATGGTTCTTTTCTGAGTCATTTCTCAGCTTTTCCTGATGGAAAGTAGCACCACCACTTTTAATGATTTTTCTGGATTAAAATTGGTTCAATATCCCCAAAATAGTTTCATTATCAGATTCTATTATATCACAGCTTCTACCCAAATATCAGCCCCATTGACTCTGTGTCTCAAACTTCTAATTTTAGAGTGTGGAAAAGCCTCCACAAAGTGGGGACAGATTGTAATTTCAAAGAAATTGGCAAACTAAAAACGTGTCTCACAGCTACAAGAGCAGAGATCAGGATGTCATTATCCCTCTAATCCATGTGTCTCAAAGATATTACTATATAGTACTAGAGATAAGGATTCAGGCCATTTAAGGATAATATAAGAAAAAATATAAATACAGTGCTGCCTATCAACTAAGAAGCATAAAATGAATAAATATCAAATGGAGGACCTCCCCAGAGTTAGGAATTATAAGAGAAGTGTTGCCAGGAATAGATTTACAGACTTAAATAGTAAACCATGTTGCCTTTTATAGAGTATATGAATGAAATTGGCAAGAGTAGCTAATTAATTATAGCTCATTAGTCTATCAAGTCTCTTGGTAGAATAAGCAAAACATTAACTTTTTATAATTATTTGGAGTCAATGTACTCCAAATGCAGTATGCTCCATCCATGAAGCATATACATTTTAACAGCTTTTGTTTTATTTTTCCACGAAATTTTATACTTCATTTTTTTTACATATTAGCATTTTGAGAACTAAAACAAAGTCCGGCAATTCATAATATAGTGCCAGTTGACAGAACATTTTAAATATACCTTCAATATGGCAAAATATAAGGTACATGGTTTTCTATTTTGTTCTTAGAATGTGAAAATGTCAAGTTTGATATAAAAAGTTATTAAACTATAATACCAAAAAACTATAATGCCAAAAACAATGGTAGTCTACAAATGAACCAACCTTCAGGATCAAGTAGTTTCTCTATGCCTAACTGACGTTTGGCGATGTTGAATGCATGTTCCAGTCTTTGTGTGGCAGACTGCTGGCAAACCACACTGTTCCAATCAAACAGGTCTGGCCTGAAACACATACATACACAGAAAAATACAGATACAAATCAATCTAGACTGTTCCATAAGATTCAGTTCAATTCTGAATTCTCATTCACAACCTGTGACCACAGTCTTTAAGAATTCATTACTATTCTTCTGTTATCCCTCAATAACATTTTTCATTTAAACATGTCACAATTTTAATTCCAAATCCTGACATTATAGGCCTTAAATATATATATATATATATATATGTATATATATATATATGTATATATGGATATAATTTTTGTTTTTTAATTATCCCAAAATAAAATTGAGATAAAAAGTTCCTGAAGAAAATAATTTATTCTATTTTATCTAACAACAAAATTATATTAATCTCATCTAATTTTACAGATTTGAATACTTAACACTTATAAGTAACTCTCAATTTTATAACCCTATACCATATGTCTTTCTGAATTCCACATCAGATTCAATTGTCTACTTAGTATCCCCACTTACAAACCTCATGGGTCCCAAACTGAGCTTTTGCTATTTGTCCCCATCACACTCCTTAAAGTCCATTTATTTCTCTAACAGTTCTCCCTCCCTCAATTAACACAAGTTCAAACATGAAGTTGCTAAGAGGAAAACCCTTGTAGTCCTTTTTTTGTTTGTTTTTTGTTTTTGGTACTGCAGATTGAATCCATGGGTACCAAACTACTGAGCCCCACCCTTAGCCCTTTTTACATTTTATTTAGAGACAGGATCTCTTTAGTTGTTTCAGGGCCTTGCTAAATTACTGAGGCTGGCTTTAAACTTGTCATCTTCCTACTTCAGCCTCCTGAGTCACTGGAATTACAGGCATGAGCCACCACATCTGGCCATGCCCAGTGTTTATAGTCATTTTTGATAAATCTGTCATTCTCACACAACTCTTGGTTCAAAATATACCTAGAATCTGAGTATTTCTCACTATCACCACTGCCATAACGCTAGTCCAAACTACCATTTTATTGCAAGAGTTTTCTGACTGCTCCTCTTTCTTCCATCTTTGATCTTGATATTCTATATTCATGATAGTTTCCATAGTTATATGTTAAAATATGTTTTATCATATATTTCTTCTCAAATCCCTACCATAGGAGAAGTAAAATGTCAGACAAAGCCCAATTTGGTCTGGTCTTCAGAAGATAACTCCCTGCCTTTATTTCTTGCCTAAATCCTTCTTATATTTGCATGGAATTATGTTCTTTAGAAATCCTCATCAGTCATTCTTCTACATCTTTTGGGTCTTTACTCAAAAATTACAACATTGGTGAGCCCTACTTTGCTACTCCCTATCTAAAAATTCATGCCCCAAATCAAACTTACACATACCCATTTACTTGTCTTTTTAGCTGCTTTATATGGTTCTGATTAGCAGTTACTAATGCTTACCATATCATTTAATTAAGTTAATCATTTTATCTGTCTCTTCCATGAGAAGTTAAAATGTAGAATATTTTTGCCAATTCTTTTCACTACTAAAATCCCTCCTTGATATGCAGTAGTGGCTCAAAAATATTTGTCAACTACATGAAAGAATGGATGACCACACACTATATTTATGCCATTTTTTTGATAATGGAGAAAACACAAGGGAATATAAGAGGCAGATGTTAACTTATAAAGATTTTAAATCTAATGACAAAAATACATATACTATAATCAGTTAGTTAAAATCTACATGTGAATAAATACAGATAATAAGGTTTTCTAAAAATATGTGGAGGGCAAGAAAGTTGTTCAAGGCTTAAAAGAGTCTTAAACATTGTCTTAGGTTTGGGTTAAAAAAAGTATTTGAGAATCAAATAGAGTTTGAAGTTGTGTGAATATTAGAAAATCAACGTTCTTAGAGAAGGAAAATACGGAATTAGGTAATCAAGAACTCATAGGCCAAGTATCAAGTGGAAAGAGGTATGATTAGGAAGGGGTGCTGGGATGACTGGGCATGAAGCCTTAGCTATTAACAAATTACACTTTATCCCAACAACATAGAAAATTGTTACAGAGTGATTCTTCACCTTTTCTGATCCTAGACACCTTTGAGATTCTGATGAGAGCTATGAAACTTTTATATGGACAAATAACCTATCTATATTGCAAATAAAATTACATATACTATTAGGCCATTTGAATCTGTTAATGGACTCCTAGTTAAGAACTCATGTCGGGCTAGGGTTGTGGCTAAGTGGTAAGCGCTTGCCTCACATGTGTGAGGTACTGGGTTTGATTCTCATCGCCGTATATAAATAAATGAATAAAGATTCATCAACAACTAAAACAAAAATTAAAGAACTCATGTTATACAAGGGAAGAAGTTACAAGGTGCCTTATTAATTATGTTTGGAGCACAATTCGAAACAAAGGTACAAATTTATTTCTCATTTCCTTATAAGCAGTTCCTACCTCATTAATAAATCAGTATTTTGTACACTTATAAGAAACCCAATAAAATCTAATCCCCACCCTCATTTACACCTAGTTACTCTAAACAGTTAACAATCTTTTGAAACCTAAAATATTTATATATTTAGGAAGTGCCTCTACTGATGGGAAAAATATGAGAAATAAAAAATTCTTAACTATTTGGAGGAATTTCAACTTCATTATGCAACCTCTGCCTACTTTATTTCTTTGTCTCTAGATGGTTGAGAGTGGAATAGAATATGGTGGGAACATATGGAAAACTAGTTCTCTCATGTACAGTAAACAAGATTTAAATGAGCATGATGGGAATAAGTAGAAATGCTTCCCATTCTAACCCTTTCGCCTCCTTTCCTTGAACTTTACTTTGGCTACTAACAGACCTCCTGTGTATGGTGGTTTATTTTATGTAACTCATGAAATGTATTTGAGTTTCAGTGTTCTCATTTAGAGAAGGATTTTACTGAAATGGGCTTTGAGTTCAGTATCAACATTAAAAAGTGAATCTATTTTCAATCATTAAAATTAATTAAAAATCAACCTATTAAACAGCTATGCTTTTCACATGCATAAAAATTACAAAACTAACCAACTGTAGAAGAAACCCATCTAGCTTTGTATGCTAACATAGAGTATAATTCATAAATAAGAACATGTAACAAAGGACATCAAGCTTTTAAGGAAGCTAGCACTATAACTGACACAGTGTAGATCCAAAACCCAGATCTGCCACTTATTAGACAAATTCTCTTAGGTAAATCATGTAACCTCTCTATGCCTCAGTTTCCTAATCTGTGAAATGGGGTAATTGGAATGTTGATGTCTCAGTAATAGAAGGAATAGTTTACTTAGAGCAGTATCTATAAAACAACAATTATTTTAAAACCACAGATTCTTTTACTTTGTCCTAAGGTTAATTTTATTTATGTAACAGTAATATGTTTTCAATTTGTCAATTCAACACAAAAATACCTATCTTTATAGAATAGATATACATGTTAAAAATATCATAGATGCAAGAATATAAACAAAATGAGAGATGGAGGAAAAAAGAGAAAGTAGTGTTATGATTTCCTCATCCTTAATATTACATAATCAATAGTTCTTTTCTAAACTTGATGAAATTTTTTTTTAAAAAGAGAACTATCATATCATTTAATGTCAAAGTTAAAATTTATGGGAACAAAATGATTATAATATCAGTAATAAAATTATCAAATAGATGGGAATGAGAAGCAATATCTATGGGCTCACTATTAAAGAAAAAATACAGGGGCTGGGGTTGTAGCTCAGTGGTGGAGCGCTTGCCTAGCATGTGTGAGGCAATGAGTTCAATTCTCAGCACCACATATAAATAAATAAGAATAAAGTTCTATAAACAACTAAAAAAATGTTTAAAAAAGAGCAAATACACATACTGTCAGAAATCAATTTATCAAGAATAAACATATATAATACATATTGTTATTACAACTATTAGAATAAAAAATTAGAACTAGCTGGACAAAACTGCATCTCAAGACAGCAATGTGATGGGGTAGGTTTGGGGTCATGAAAACAAATTTGATGTATTTTTTCCTTTTCCCCCAGCTCTAATGTCTGTTTTTGGTTTTGGTTTTGGTTTTGTTTTCTTCTGTTATAATAAAAAAAGAATTAGCAAGATAATTGCAATTTTAAAGTCATTGCAAATTTATCTACATATTTTTAAAATATTTTCTAATCATTTATCATTGGGATTTCCTGTAAAAATAGAATCTGGCTTCCTTTCAACTGCACTGTAGTGGACTTTGTGCTTTAAAACAAAACTTTTAATTTCCAAGGCCCTTTGTTAATCTTTATGTTCTATATTAAGCTCATGCCTTTGTTCTATATAGCTTAGTCACTCAATTATTGAAATCAGGACACCTTATGACTTTTCTTAGTGTACCAATGACAATCACCTTGGAACACAAAGTTCCACATTTTTTTAACATAAACAATATGAACAACTGTCAAAAACAATGACACAGATGATTCATGAAAGAGCATTAACAATTGTAAGGAACCTCTTGAAAACTAACCACCTAATGTATAAAGTAATAGTTACTGATGATTCACTAGAACAGGGGAGCATACATGAATAAGGATATTTTGAAGGAGAAAGAGTGGGTCAGGGACAGGGCCATCTGGATCTATTTACTGTGTTACCTAGAAATATATTCAGAAATCATAAAACAGAACATTAACAAATGTAGTCTGTGAACATGCTTGCAAGATTTAAGTCTTCCACTTGAAAAGAAAATGTTAAAGAGCCAACAAGGACTGCATAACCTGATCCTCAGTATTTTTGTTCATCTGCAAATGTGTACATGAAGAGCAAGATCAATATTTTTTCAGGCCCTTCGTGTGAAACATGTGGCTGCATAAATGAGCACTGGCTTATGATGCAGAATGAACATCTCTATCCCTTCTCACCTGACTATATTGAAGCTGTGGAAAATCTTTCTTTTGTCGTACTTAGGAAAAACAATGTGTTAACAATGCTTAACATGCTGATTGGGTGCCAGGCAGCCTTCTTTCTAAAATCAGGTTGCTGAGTCATTCACCTGGAAACCCAGTCTGGATGGGGTTAATTAAACCCAGCTGGAGCATGACACCTAACAAAAATGCTTATTTAGAGTGTGTTTGCCCTTGGGTTGAGTTTTACCATGAAGACAATTTATATTCTGAGCTTCTCTAGAAGCAAGATTGGCATAGGAAAATAGTAGACTTGACAGAAAAAAAAATCAAAGTGACAAACAACAACTTCACTGAAAATTAGGGAAGATGCAATCCAACAGCATTTCAAACACAGGTAATTAGGCAATGCAATTGACTCTGGCTGGAGTAGAAGGGACAGGTAATAATACAATCAAAGTAGAATTCCCTTAGAATAAATATAATATATAGATATATGGTATAGTATATATGACGTAACACTATATATAGTGTATATAAATGTATTATATATTGCATATTACATGTTATATATAAATGTTAGTTTTTACATTGTTTTGCTTTTTCTTGAGCTCTTATTAAGTCATTTACTGAACTTCATTATACAAGATAGTCAGATAGCTTTAGTGAACTTAGGAAATACAATATTGTATGGAACATAATTAAGGATGTTTGTTTCACTGTATTATACTGAGTTCTTTCTATTGAGGATCCACAGAACTCAACCGTGCTTTATAGCAATTTCTTTGTAGCTCCAGAGAAATTGTTTCTTTTGATATTCTAAGCATTGAGTCATAGAATTAACTGTGTTCTGCTCTTTGCCTTGGTTGCTAAGATGCTCAGAGCCTCTTTTAACCCTGAAGTAGAAGAAAATATACAGGGCATCATGGTATTTGCTATAAAACCTATATCTCATGAGACAAATGTTTCTCTCTGTACATTATTTATCTGATGATACTGATAAATTTTACAACAACCACTAACATGAACTTTGGAACAATTTTTAGTTATATAGTTTAGGCTCATACCAATATATTATTTGTACAAGACAACAATATCATTCTCAATAAAGTTAGAATACAACCTATTTGTTCTCAGAGTCCAAATTTTAAATGTTTATCTTCTCCCCACACCATAACCAATTTCATGCTCCAGGAATTTGATATTTCAACAACAAAATGATATATTATATGAAAAGTAGGAAAAATATGTTCCATCAGTACATTCTAATGAAAGGTTAGATCAGTATTATCAACATATGTTACATGTGACATGGTAGGAAATGATCTGGAACCAACCTGAGGTAAAATATATCATCATCATCCAAATGAGTACTTACAAAATTATGAAACAACTCCGTAGTATCCTTACCTATGACTATGGATGAGAGCATTCAAAGCAAGGCCATCAGACCAGCTAGTGGTGAAGTTGATGACATTAACCTGTGGATAATTACGAGTTGATTGTCGGACCCAGCTCAGGAGAATCTTTTCACTGTTTGTTTGTTGCAATCCAGCCATGATATTTTTCATTACATTTTTTACCTACATATATAAAGAGATATTTATAAGAAAATGCATTCTTTGAATAAAAACACTACAAACTTTAATAAGAAAGCTCTCTGTCTTGTGAAAAATCATGGGAATTATAGGGCTAAATATTAATGAAAAGTAATAGATTTTACCGAGACTGAATCTACTAAAATTGGTTAGAAATCTGTTCTGAGTGGGTGGTGCCTATACCTTATCATTTGTTTAATATACTTATTGTTACTTATGGGTTCTGCCTTATTTAACTATGAATCTACTGTTTGTAGAACTGCTGATCTTCTAGCTTTCAAGGGCAGAAAAGAGACTTATCATTAAATTAGACTTAAAATATGAGATGCATTTTTAGCCAATAAGTTAAGATCAATCAGTGATTTTTTTTCTTTTTGATAGGAAGGATAGGAAAGTGGGTAATAAAACACTTTTTATAAGACCTAGGTTCAGGGACTGGGATTGTGGCTCAGTGGTAGAGTGATTGCCTAGCATGTGTGAGGCACTGGGTTTGATCCTTAGCACCACAATAAGACAAATAAATAAATTGTGTCCATCTACAACTATATATACTATATAGTATACATATATAGTATACATATACTATATATAGTATATTATATATATGTATATATATATACACACACACACATATATGAAAAAATTTAACACATAGGTTCAAATTGTGCCTTTGCTATTAATTGTGAAAGATAAACTTAACATTTTTTAGCTTCAGTTTTCTCATCTAAATAAGAGTGTTGTAATATAGTAATTGTTTTAAAGAAAATCCTAGGTTCATACAATAAGTTATAACGATCCAAGTTATAATTATTGACTGAAATAAAAATGACTACAGAAATGTTTGCACATTTAAAAATTTCAAAAACCAAATCACCCAAATTTAATGAAATAACTTAAAGTGATATTTATGCCTAAGACTATAGCTATGTGGCCTTGATTTAATTTTCATTAGTTAGTTTCTGTACATTTCATTCTCTCCTAGGCTTTGTGTATCTGTAAATGATATTCAGCAGGATATTATATTTCAAAATTTCATTCTAAGTAATTCAATGCAGAAACCCATCCTAAGCATTTTTTCCAAGTTTCATGAATTCAGTGACACCTCATTATAGGATGTACTGTCAATGTACTCTATGAAAGAATATTTACTACTCTACTTTTTAAATGTAATTTAGGTCTCTTGTGAGAGATTTAAAGGAAGTATATAAGTAAACATGATTATTCTTTACCACCAAGGGCTTTCCTTTTTGGAAGTTTAAGGTATATATATATACTACCAAAATTTAATCAGATGATGAATATTTATTATTCATTCTAAATATGACATTTCATTTTGTTTATTCATCCATGTAGAAGTTAACAAATGCCTTTAGGGTAAATACATATTTTAACATCTTCAATTTTATACATCTTTTAATTAAACATTCAATGCAAAGTTTTTGATATACTATATTCTAGACTTATTTTTTATAACTGTATTTTGTTTATTTTTATGTGGTGCTGATGATCCAATCCAGTGCCTTACACATTCTAGGCAAGCACTCTACCACTGATTTACAACCCCAGTCCCCCTATACTTATTTTTAAATACTTTAAAAAATATTTAGAATTATATTTCATTAATGTGGTAATAATATGATGATATGAAATGTTTGAATATATTTGTCATGATCTCTTGATAGCTGTACCTATTGTTTAGGGACAGGTTATCTACTTTTCTTGATTCTTCCTTGGCCTGCTTATTTAGTCAGTTACCCAGTGAATAAATAGGTCAAATTATATAAGATATATAATTTTCATATTGTATTCTAAAATTACAAAGTTCATAACCTACATGTACAGCAATTGTAGGACAGGAACTTGGTGTCCTGTGTTGAACCAAGGTTGGAATCAACAAATACTAGAATAGTGGTAGTGATGGATTTTCACTGATCAGTCCACCCTTCAATGATAAATAAAATTCATTTGTGAAATGCTTGGCCAAACTGCCCTCTATGTACATAATATTAAAAGAAAACAAATCCAAAACTCTTTTAGCATCATTGTCACTAATTCAGCTTATTAGTCTCAGTATCATTGGCAGGACTTCTCCTTGGGTGCAAATGTTTCAGAGAAAAACTAAAGGATAATGTGTAATAATCATTTGTTTTTTTTTCCTACATAAAGAAGTATTGCCAGAAGAATCACTGAGCTGCACATAAAATGAGGCTATAAGCAGAAAATTTTCCTACACTAAGGAGTTACTGTCCCTGAAAAAAGAATCAATTTAAACTAATATGTGTGTGCTACAAACATAATATAATTTAAAAAATGTTTTTAGTTATAGATGGACACAAATATTTATTTATTTATTTATATGTAGTGTTAAGAATTGAACCCATTGTCTCACATGTGCTAGGCAAGCGCTGTCCCACTTAGCTACAACCCCAGCCCTGAAATAATTATTTAATGGAAAAAAATTAAAAGGTGGTTGATCTGTGATTTTAAAAAAGAAGTAGGCAAAGATGGTATGATGGACATGGAGATGCATTGCCAAGGCTATCCTGAAAGGAAGGTCTTATAGTTCAAGCTGTCATAGCATCAGGGACTAACTGAGTTGCAGTCCTGTCACACAAGGTCACAAGCTTCCCAGGACAACACAAGTCTAGTGACTGATGAAAGAGTGTGCTATAAACACTCAGCCATTTTCATCCAACCTGGGACTACTTTGAAAGGTCATTTAGCTTCAACTTCACCATGGGGGGTGGTTGAATAAGATTGTTCTTGGGTCTGCATCATAACTGTTGCTCTTCCATTTTCTACTCCCACCACCTCTGCCCTTCTCCACGTATTGGTCCCAAGAGAATATTTAATAAATATGCTGCCTGCTAAATTCGACTTCAAAATCTACTTTCTGGAAATCAGCATGTGATCAGCATTCACTGCAGTGGAAGAACAGGGTGCAAAGAAGTAGGAGTAGTCTTCTGTAAGAAACAAATAGTTTGTATGAAGCTCTGCAAAAGAGCAGAATGAAAAGTGTTTTGCACAGAAGTTCATAGGTAGGAAGGAGTTGAAAGGACTTTCATCAGTGCAAAAAAATCATGATTCTTTCATGATTGTATGTTCTATAAATAATACAAATATATCAGTGTGAATTTGCTTTGGAAATAAATACTTTCCTTGGCTTAGTCAGCAAAGATGGGAACTTAACTTCTAATAGAATACCACTGTTACTAAGATACGATTTGATTTCCAGCTGCTTGCCTGAGTTTAGTTTACTACTCTAAAAAGGATGGTTTGCACTTTAAAAAAAAAAAGGAAGAAAAAGATACCAAACACACATTGTCTACGTGTCAATTTTGTTTAAAGCCACTTACTCCTGAAAATATGCATTATTTTTCAGGCTAACAATTTTATTTGAAGTGGAAACTAGAAAAACAGTGACAAGGAAATAGAGTTAACATTGCTGACTTCAAAGAGAAGTCCTCCATAGCACTATTAATAACATAGCATGTGGCATTGGAAGAAAAGATTCAAGTCATTTTGGTCTTAATAACACTCTTAATCTGATAGATCTGGAAAGTACATTAAGTTGGCCAGAGTGTCCTTTAATCTTTGCTGAGATTCATGGGATTCTTCTACTATTTATGAGAAAGGCACACATATGATCTTACTAAAAACATATTTTGGAATTCGATGAGTTATGATGAAAAATTTTGACAATTTTTAAGAGTGTTTAGTATTTTTAAGAGACTGAGGCAAAATAATGGAAGAGAAAGATGAGATAAGTAGGCCTTGTCTGAGAAGAGTCTATATCCTTGCAATCAGAATAAGGTGGTCATGCAGAACACAGGTGGAAAATAATAGGGTATAGAGCAGTCTCAGACAAAAAAGCCTAAAACAATACTTCTAGTAGTCCTGGGTATAAAAGCTCTTCCTCTGCATGCTAATATAATCCTCCAAAACAAAGCCAAACAAAATGGACCACTCACAAACAAATTAATAAAACACCATAAATGACTGTTATGAAATTCTATCTTAAAGTGAGTTGAGATAGAATAGGAAAAGACTATGAGGAGATGCAGAAGGATGAGATTGTATGAGAGAGTCTGAAGGATAAATACAATTGAAAGAGTCTTTTGGAACTATGCATGCCTGAGTTCTCCTCTTTGCTTTGTCATAACCAATATCTATGATACTCAGTGTGGTCTGCAAACTGGGGTCTCTCCCTGAACAATTTGTTACTAAGCCCTAAGATAAATACAACTGAGAATATGTTGGAAACTTTTACAGCCATTTCATAGAGTAGTATTCACATTGATTGTATTTAATAATAAATAAAAAGGAAATTTGATTTTTTGTGTCTTTTATCATTTATGGAATATTTCAGCTTTGTTGTATTTTACATATTATAGATTAAGGGGATACTCTTCCTCTGCCAAGCTATTATGAGAAGTACTAAGGAACAGGAAAAAAAAAATTGGTGGGAGGTGGGTTATGTTTTCTCGCTGGTTTTATTTACACCATCACTACATGGAAAAGGCTGGAAATCAGCCAACTTGGGCTCATGTGAGGCTCTCATGAGCTATTCTCTGTTGTCAGCATTTATATATTCTCTCTCTCTCTCTCTCTCTCTCTCTCTCTCTCTCCTCACATTGCTGTGAAATGCAGTTAAGTCTGTTTGGAATATTAAAAGACAAGAGAGATCAGTGTAGCTGCAGAGTTAAGTAGGTAAACCTCTGGCCTACATACTATCTGATACAGACCAAAGATAATGTAAGACCAATCTACATTTCAAGTAAAAAAATTAACTCTACTACATGAAGTAGTAATAAAATAAGTACCTCAATGAGGGACCTCAAATATGCAAATTGAAAGAAACTAGACACACACACATTCACACACAAAAAACCACATACAACAGGTGTTACATGATTCTGCTAATATGAAATGTCAAAAAGGGCAAGTATATAGACAGAAATAGATGCATGGTTCTCTTGAGCTGCAGTAGAAGTGCAGAATGACTATAAATGGACAAGAAATTTCTTTTTAGGGCAATGGAAAAGTGCTAAAATTAGGCTGCTGTAATGGTTGTACAACTGTAAATAGAAAAAACTAAAAGTTTTGCTTAATTAGGAGAAAAAACTATTTCTTCCTCAAGATAGTTGGAGAAGCCACTGAGAAACATAGTGAAGCCATATTCATACATGATGAATTTTATACTGAGGTCAGGAAAGTTTATAGAACAAAATGTCATTTCAATAGAGCAGTTTAAAAAAAATAATCTCTATGAGTAATAAAGGCAGACATATATGAAGTATCCTCTTAATTCTTAAAATATGAGTGGAAATGCTAAGCAATCAATGTCACTTGTATCATACATCTCAAATAAAATTGGTGCACTTTATTGGCTGTTTTACAGATATGTTCTCATTTAATCTCGATAGGAATATATACATACACATTCAACCTTCTTTATCTCTTTTGACAGAGAGGGGGGCTATGGTACCCAAAATGCATGACATAATATCCAATGCCACTAAGATGTAAGTAGGAAAGTTTAAATTTAAGCTTATCTGATTAAAATGTAAATATTCCTTTCACTTAACTGAAAGATCTTTCATCAATTTTATAAAGGTTGGATAAATATAATATTCAGAATACTCTATCCTCAAGTGATTGATTAAAAATGCAATTTTCAAATCAAATTGTGAGGAAGTATATACAACAGGTATACTCATACAAATATTCATATCCCACTAATCGTTTTTTTGGATACTGGTATTGAATTTAGCTATAATATACTACTTAGCCATGTCCATAGCTTTCTTTCATTCTATTTTTTTATTTGTAGATAGACACAATACCTTTATGTTTTTAATGTGGTGCTGAGAATGGAACCCAGTGCTTCACACGTGCTAGGTGAGTACAATGCCATTGAGCCACAACCCCAGCCCTCATTCTTTCTATTTTGAGATAGGGTCTCACTAAGTGGCCTAGGCTGGCCTCAAACCTACAATCTTTCTCCCTCAGCATCCTGAGTAGCTGGGATTACAGGTGTGCAGCACCATGCAGAGCCAATCCAACTAAACTTTTACACTAACAATATGCAATATTGAATAAAGCTTATTACTTTGATAGTGATTTAAAAAGGATACCTTTCTTTTTACAAAATTCTGTACATTTAATTATAGTCATACTATATAAGACATATATTTGTGGAAAAAAAATTTACTATTTTGGGACTTTGCTTTTGTTGCTTCATCTACTCAGTGAAATAAAAATTGGAAAATATTCCTGCAAATGTACCAGATCCTACTTTATGATCTCCAGATTCTTAATATCCAACATGTTATGAGTTGTGTCAGTTTAAAAGGCAGCACTATAGAGATGGCTTGTTATTGTTAAGTGGAATGTGTGTTTATTTTGCAGGTCAAACGGTAAAAAAATGAAAGAAAGTGTTAGCAATGTATAACATATTACCCCAAAAGAAAACAATCATTAGGATTTTACCTGCCAGTGGAGGATTATATTCCAAATCAAACCAAGAGTCAGTTTATGATTTCCATCTACTATGTCAGTGCTTCCAATATTCACTAAATCGACCTATTAAGAAAAGGAAAAATAACATTTGAAGGAAGGAAACAAAATACTTATTTGTAAAGGAAACAAAATGTGAAGCTAATGGCATTTAGTTATTATTAGAACTTAGGCAGCATTACAGCTTTTAAAAAATAATCTAAAAATAAAACAAAATGCATTTGTAAGTTCACTTTCCTTAACAAACAAGCATCCCCAAACAAAAATGTAGCGATAGGAAGTTAAAATACCTTTAACATGTGAATAGATTACTGAAGATTAAAAAGGCCAATCAGAATATCACCAAATAAAGTCTCAAATAGTGACAACTCATATAAGATGTTTAAGATATTCTTTCTGGTATAGAATTGAAACTAAAGAAGAAAGGGAGGGAGGGAGGGAGGGAG